TAGCCAATAGTCTATTTCTTCGCATTTGATCTAAGATAGTGAATCATTAAAATAATTAATCGTTCAATGAAAAAAATTGTTAGACAACTGGTTGTTACATTTTCAGAGAGATTTCCTAGTGATGAATTTCAAAATGGTCGATTTAAGAATAGTGAATGCGAAATTTTTATTCAAAATTCGTATACGGAAATTAAAAAAAAATAAACGTTTGTAATGAATCTTAAAGTGAATCATTTATTTTTAAATCTTATTCTCGCTACTTTCGAAAATTCGGCTCGTGTGCTTCGCACCGCATTTCGTAGTCGAGTGAAACTCGAATACCATCTAGTTTTCATTATTTTTGTGTCCATCACTACTTTTGTTATCTTCCTTGGGAGTTATAGATAAAAAAATATTATTTCTCAAAAGCATCTTACACTTGAACACTGACTTTCGTATGGATAAAATTTCAATTTTATTGAGAAAAAGTAATCTATCAATGAGCATCCAATTTTTGAATATTTTATAAATTGCGTTATTTTTTCTTCTTCTATTCCATTGTGTTTGTGGTAATTAAAAATGGATTCTGTCTAAATCATTTCAATGATGAGATGGTACATAGATCTGGCTTTGTCATTTCTTGAGGGTGTGGGTGTGAAGAGAGACCAGAACACCCACACCCTAGTATAGATGATGTTCACATCCTCGTTGCATACACACTCAAAAATATCAAGTAAAATAATATGTGTTAGATAATATTTTATACAAAATACTTTATCATTGATATGTGCAAAAACTTAAAATATTGTTTCAGCATATCTTTAATTTTGTACGTTGTTTCCTTTTCACGAGATTTTTTGGAACAATCATGGTACAAATTATTTTTAAGAGCAAAAATCATTCTCTCGAAAAGAAAAAACTTTACCATTCAAGTTTAATTAAAAGTAAGACACTAATAGACTTCTATGTCATTGCGATAATTTTTCATAAAAATAAGAATTCTAGGTCTATTGTAAAATGATAGTCGGTTTGCAGTACCTTGATAAAAATGAAGATTTCATTCAGTTTCGCTCAAATCAGTCAGATATATATATATACCTCTGATGGATCGTATCAATATCATGTTTTAGCTCGGTATGATTTATCTTCAAATTATTACTGGTAGCTCTATTTGCTTGATTATTTTAATCATAATTTATTCATTTAAAGATGTCGACAACATTGCTTAGATATCGCTCACGCTCGCACAACAATATCGAAGTTATTTTCTTCAGAAATACATCAGAATTTTCAATTGCTAAAATAATCTGAATAAATTGTTAAAAGCCCACGGACTTCGACAATTCAATTCTATTCTATTCTATTCCATCCCATCGGTATACCTAGTGAAGCACAATTAGAATGCATGCAATCTTGTTGCTTCATAGTAAAGCTGATGTTTGTGTGAACTATTCATTATTATGTAAATGATCAGCAAAAACTGCCTAATTATTGACGTTTTCAACTTGCAATAAAAACAAACAAGAAAACCGAGCTATTGATGAAAGATGAATGTATTAAATGCATTTTAATGTGAAAAGTATGACCCTTCTGTCATAGTATTTTCTTACTTCTAATTTTTGTAATTTTTATACAATAACAGACATAGTAATTTATGGAAGTATTTTATCAGAAGAAATAAAAGAATAAAATAGAACATAAAAGTAAAAATAAATAAGCTCTTTCTATTTAGAGAAATTTTGATTATATGAAAATGTAGCAATGGCTGAATTGGTCGAAATGATACACGATTTTTCTATACGTTTAATATTCTATATATAATTGAGTTATTTATGCATAGAAATATGTTTCACGCTTACATGCTTTTATGTTTTTGCTTGGTTGAGCAATATGAGTGTGCTATTTCCCATCATACTTTGAGGCTGTACTTCAAAAATTCAAATTTCAATGCAAACTAGCGCATAGCAATTAGTAGAAGTTAATAAATAAGCAGTCATAACTGTTATTTTGCAGTTGAGCAATTTTAGCGTTTCAATAAGAAAGAAATTTATATTCAGGCAATGAAATTTTTATTATAATATATATATATATATATACAATGTCCGCTTTGTTTCAGAATATCTCTACTAAAATTTGTTAAGCTCAGTAGATCTAAAAGATATTAGTAATAAGCCTCTATTATATATATCGTAATCAAAGAAAGCATGAACAATTTAAACATTAGTTTCATTCGTACAAATGGTTTCGATGATCTATCAGTCTAAGAGATGGCCAGTAAATAGTAACATAAGTATTCGGTGAAAAGAATGGAATTGATAGATTTTTACTTCAGACTTGATATTGTGTTTACTGACCGTTTTGTTTTTACAAAAAAATGAATGGAAATGATCCATTGACAGTGACAGAAAAAACTAGATGGTATTCAAGTTTCACTCGAATACGAAATGCGATGCGAAGCAGGAATCTGGATCCAGGAAAAATCTACAGTTCAGAGAAATCTTGAATACTTTTTATGTCGACATGATGAAATTCATCACTGAGGAAACTCTATTCCTACTTAGCGATACATTCTTAAGGATCGATTTCGATTGATCGATTCATTATCTCCATGATCCATTATCTTAAATCAGCTGTAAATGAATAGACTATAGTGGCTAACATATGTTCATGACGTCACTTTAATTATCTCGCAACAGATTTCTTTCATTTTCGTCATTTTGGAACCACGCTTATGAACGAACGAAACTGCAGATTGAAGACTCGAAAACAGATGTAAAAGGTTCGATCTTGATACTTCAATCTCACGTTTCAACGAGTTTTCTACGATTTATGGTTCTCGAGATCACCGCGACACAAAACGTCGACTTTTGATCCGTACGTCAAGGAAGTAAAAAATAATAAAAATAAAAAAAGCTCGAGACGAACTACATAAATGCTTCTGCTTCGCGTCGCATTAAAAACTCGCGACGGACTACATAAATGCTTCTGCTTCACATCGCATTAAAAAACTCGCGACGGACTACATAAATGCTTCTGCTTCGCATCGCATTAAAAAATTAAAAAAAACCGCGACGAACTACATAAATGCTTCTGCTTCGCATCGCATTAACTAGATTAATAAAAACGCGCAATTTCTGTTATCGTAAAAGAAAAATTATCTTTTCTTAAAGTAGTTAGAGAAACTCAAAAGTAGATGATGAAGAAATTAAAAGCATAGATCTAGCTTCATCGCGTCTCATACCCAAAACTATCTATTAACTATTTTCGAACTTAAAAAATTATGCACCCGTATCCGCTAAATCTTTGATGTGCAAATATGTCCATTATTGTTGGTAGACACTTTTGAGAATATTTCTTTATCAGATAAATATTTCACGAAATGCTTCAAATTTATCTATAAATTTTATGCAGTCTTCATGAAGACACTTAAATATTCTCTAACTGATTCAGAAATTTTCCAAATAACAACTTTAGACATTTCTAACTATCGTCAATTTACAAACTTCCACATCTTTTTAATAAAAGAAATAAGCTATTCGAATTAAAACATTCTCAACAAAGTTTAGACACAAGAATTTCGCCAAGGCTTTCCTATTAAGATGTTGTACCTTTTTCATGCTTTATTTTGTCAGTTGTTTATTTAGATTAATAACAAAAGAAACCGAATATGCTGTTCGAATATATAGAAGTTATTGCTTAGAAAATAAGTTATGTTAACGTGCTCTGCAGGCATTTTCAATTGTAAAATATGAAAGTTATCTATCTGAAAAATACTACAAGATAACACTGGTATAGATTTACAATATGATATTGAATATAATATTTTAGAATACGAATACTTTTAATTACATGAAAATCAGAGATTCAAAATTTATTAATTCCTTTATTGAAAGCTATTCTTTGCATTGTAAAGCATCTAAAATAATATCGTATAATCCTTTATTCATCGAAATACAATGTGAACTTTTACGACAACATAGACAATAAAAGTAGATATTTATTGAAAGATGAATGCATTAATTCAATAAAGAAAACTGAACAAATCGAATATATGGATATCGAAGTAAAGCACAGAAAAATTTTTTGAATAATGTTTCGTTTCATACAAATGATTTCGATATTTCAAGGATTCTTAAAAAGGTTCATCACCTAAGCCAACAACTTTTCGACGAGCAACTGAAATCAAATTAAAGTTTTAACGACTACTTTTAAAAATTGAGAAAAGGTAACTTTACATTGTCTTTTGCGGCCATAACTATTGTCGCCTTCGTCGTCGTCGTCGTCGTTGTCGTCGTCGTCGTTGTAGTTGTAGTTGTCGTCGTCTTCGTCTTCGTCGTCGTCGAACATACTGTTCTCGCGACGACGTTGCATTTCTCTTTCTAGATAATCCAAAACTTGAGCTCTAAGAGCATTTTTGGGACGCTAAAATAGATAATCTCATATAAAAATGATCGCTTCAACTGGAATTGAAATTCATACATGTTTTTGTTCACGTGCATCGATGATAAATATCAGNCATCAGTGTATCCGGCCGTTTATGTGATAACTCTTCACAATTACATTTGATTGAGCTGAAACTTTGTGCACAGAATTGTCTTATCAATATCTAGGTCGAGTTCGAAGATGAGAAGGATCTGTCAAGAAATGGCTGATTTATCGAAAAAATTGTCATTTTTGATCAGACCATCCCTGAGGGGGAGTACAGGGATTTTTCAAAAAATCGTTTTTGTTTTCATAACTATCCACAACATATATAAATCGACTCAGTTTTTAACGCTGATCCTGAATCTGATATTAGTTTTGGAAAAAATCGTAGTTTTCTGACGGACCATTGACTGGAAAAGGTCTCAAAATGCACAAAAACTGCATCTAGAAACCAAATTGCCTAGATATGTTTCAGATGACTAGCAGCTTGGGTGTTCCTCAAATGCCTGGTTTTGTTGCTAATCAAAAAGACTATCGAAAGGTAAAAACCCGAACTCGATAGCTATTACTATTGATGATTTATTATGAAAATACTGATGCCTGTATCTGTCATATATCTCTTATAAATTCATGAAGTTGCTTACGATCGTAATCCTGCTAGATACAAACACAAATCCATTCAAAAATAACTCTTACTATCCAGTTTTCCAAGCTGAACACGAATCTGAACTCAATTTTTGTGATCTCTAAAGATATTATATCACGCTGAGAGTAGAGTCAGTGATCACTGGATAGAGTTGCATACAGTGTGGCCCATGCTAACTTAGCACGTCTGTATTTTCTCCTTGCAATTCAGTGAGAAGGGATGTATCTTGATGAGATCTATGCCTTACAGGAAAAAAATAGATGTACATTTTCGCTTTTTGAAGTACACATAACAATCGGATGCAAATCCGATGTTTCCGCATTTATTTTTTAAATAAAATTAAATCGTGTATTATCAAATGATTTAAATAACTTGAAACTTTCCAATGAGAGATAGTAAATCTGGCACAACTCAATAAACTTTTAAATTTCTTTACTTGTTTTTATCATGAACTTCGTAGTTCTAAAAAGGTAAAAACATGCCAATATCTTACTATTGATTGCAATTTAAATATAAATAGTACCATAAAGAAATTTATGTACACCTTCTATTAAGTAAAAATGAAACACGCATAATTATTCTACTCAGTCATTTCTTTGACGCTTTTCATTTTTTCGCATTGATATATTTAAACGATTGCAATTGTAAAAGAAGTATTACTATTTATAGTGTTTCAAGTAGGCGTACAAATTATGTCAAATCGTCATATTTTTTGTTCTCATAATAGAAAATAGTTCTAGGATAATAGCTTGTATCTTTGATCATAATAAGTAGAATTTCAATGGCACATTCGAAAATATATCACAATTTTAACATAAAACAGGGGCGTAAGTTATATTTTACTGAATAGTTTTCATAGCTACGAGCATAATGATAATGTGTGCATCGCTTTTATTATGCCAGTCTACAGAGTCAACGTACTTAGCTTCTTGTTAAATTAACTAGATTATCAGGTGTTAGGTCACACATTCTTTAAGACATCTCTTATCAAAAATACATAGCGTAGACTTACATGCATTTGGTAGTCGTCGAACTACTGAATTAGTATTCATGTCACATGTTGTCACCGGCTCAGCTGGCATTTTGTTATGATGAGAAATATTATAGATGCATCGTCTTTTGTAATCTTAAGTATTCTATTGAATTCTACATCGGATCATACATTGATCGATCATACATTGCCTATTGACTCACGTGCGTATTTTATGTAAACTAATATTCGCTTGCTTGCGCCCACACATACATATATAACTTCCGATGTATTATTTTGACTTCCCATTCCATTGAAGGACTATTAGGTTGTCATTGAGAGTGACATTTATACTTTTGATTAGACTGAAGTCATGCAAAAAATCTCATGATTTTTATGTGAAATAAAAAATTATTTTCTTGTATTAGAATATATAGTTGTGTGAATGATTAACTCTAAAAACGAATCAAAAATTATGTGCCAACATTGCCTGTTTGTCTTCTCATTAAGCACATTCGTCAGTTTTTTTTATTATTTGGTTAAAAACAAGATAAAAGAGATACTTTAAGCATTTAATCAGCCGTAAACAATTAAAACAGAAACTAATATATCAAAAATTTTAATTTTCTGAAAAGCTAGATAGTACAACAGATATTTTTGTTTTTCGTTTTCTTGCCGAATATCTAATACAGAAGAAAGTGTAGCTTTTGATATTTTTATAAATTAAATGCATAAAAAACATGATTGCGACAGAAAAACAAACAGGTGACTAGCTTGGCTGAGACCAACTGCGCTGCATCAGCTATATATCAAACAGAAAGATATACATTTATGTAGGAGACGGTAAGAAGGTAGATAGGTAATTTCTGAAATAAGAAAGTGAAAAAAAATAGGAGTGGACAAAAATAATGAAAATAAATATATGATATGCACCGCTGATCACTGCGACAATATTGACGAAACGAAAACCTTTCTATTAAATAATATCACTCTCTTGTTCACGATTACTAACATTTATTCTTGCATCATTTGAGAACGAAAAATTGCATTAGTTTATTTACAATAAATTATGATACCTGCATGAAATTGTGTCATCAATATTTTTTTTCTTTTTAAAAATAGGTCTTAAATTCGATACCATTTATAATGAAGACAAAAATAGTGATACTCGTATTGATCTTAACATTTTCTCTGATATTTATCATCGATGCACGTGAACAAAAACATGTAGGAATTTCAATTCCAGTTGAAGCGATCATTTTTATATGAGATTATCTATTTTAGCGTCCCAAAAATGCTCTTAGAGGTCAAGTTTTGGAACATCTAGAAAGAGAAATGCAACGTCGTCGCGAGAACAGTATGTTCGACGACGACGAAGACGACAATAGTTATGGTAGCAAAAGACAATGTAAAGTTATCTTTTCTTGATTTTTAAAAGTAGTCGTTAAAACTTTAATTTGATTTCAGTTGCCCGTCGAAAAATTGTTGGCTTCGGTGATGATCCATATTAATCACTTATACGCATTAGTAACACAGTAGTATTAAAATATAATATTTTCGTGACTAAATTGTCTCTTTTAATATCTCAAATATATATATTCGTGGTATCTATTTTTGCATTTTTTTCCTAATATTTCTTCTTTATTTTGCTTCTCTAAGATTACAGCTATCTTTTAATACATACCTACTTTAACTATTTTTTTCCTTCTAAAGTTATTTTTAAAATTCTATTATGCTTAATGAATTATTTTATCAAATTGTTCTTATTCTCGAAATACAACGGACTTTTGAGAAAACTGATCATCAGTAGTTCCACAAACGACATGGACATTTTTATAGCTGTGAATCTAGAAAAAAAACTTTCAAATTTTTACAAGGAATGGATTTTCACGGATAAATAAAATGTTGTTCGATTTAAAGCCCTTGTAATACAATTTTAGCGTGTTTTAATCATTTTTAGCCTCGAGGTCATCATGTCATAGTATGCACGGATCATGGGCTTGCCAGCGTCTTATATGAGTGTGGCAATAAATAAGAATGCCTAATTCTTTTTAAAAGAAAGTCATGTTTTGGCTGTAGCGTATGCATACCCATGTCGTCGAAATGTTCGTAATTTTGAAGATTAATCACGATTTTTGAAAAAATCGTCGATTTATCCGTGATTAGTCGTCGATTTTTATCAAAATAGTACATAGATAGCGATTTTATCGCGATAAATCGTCGATTTTCACTTAAATGTCCACAGTGGCTAATATTATGGGAAATCACATAATATCATTCATATTGTTGTCAAACTAACTATCTGTCTTCATTCTCAAGCTATTTGGCACTGTTATTCGTACTTTTTCTATTGATTACTTTTGTTACCTGTTTATTGAGCTCTTTTTGTAGAACAAGAAATATAAAGGAAATGAGCTTGAGGAGGCCCTATGATAAACGATCTGATGCCATCAACCTGTTTCGTCAAAAATGTATCGTTGTTTGATGAATCTTCATTTTGTTGGGAAAATTGACACAAAATCATTAGTCTTGGCGATATATCGCGATAAAATCGCACGATTTCGTCACGATTTTGATGACATCGGGTATATAATACAGATAGATATATGCTCCAAATAATATTTTCAGCTGTGTCAATTGCCAGCAATTGCCTCGTGGCAGTCCGCCAATGGCACGGATACATGATGTCTCATATTTTAAATTTTTTCGAAATCGACTTCCGCGATTCATCGTATTCTACTTTTATTGGACAATGCTCGATTTTCTTCATGAAAAGCTACCAATAAGGAAATTTATCGTTCGATACGGTTCGGAACTAAAAGAGTCTAAAAATTGGAATTCTTCTAGACTTTAGATGCGAAACAGATATCTGTTGTACAATGTTAGCTGCTCGATGGTGTCTATTTTCGCTGGCTAATAAAAAATTGTTTATCATATTTCAAAAGCTTTTGCATGGTACAAGTAACTAAAATAAAAGCAAAGGTTACAAAACATTAACGATTAGAAAAAAGATACGAGAACTATTCTATAAAGTATTTGTAATTATGTATATCCTAGTGTTAAATTATGCAAGCTATTAGTTTGATCAAATAAAACTAGAGCCTGTGCACCGATTTTCAATTTGATTCGGAAGAAGTAGTTCGCATGTATTAATCTGGCTTTATATAGCGACTAGTGATATAGTAGAATAATTTCTTCTAAGAGAAAAATGCTGTCGATAGTCTAGATAACATTTATGGAATCATTTTTGCGTCACCATGAGTTTATTGTACGATTTAGTCATTTTATCGACGAAAAGAAAAGAACATCAATTAAATGATTATTTCCGATACAGATTCTCACGTATACTTGACAATGAGGAACTGTGTACTTTATCTATGAATGGTTCTAAGAAAAACCTGGAGATTCTCTTAGAGCTTGTTAACTTCTTTGACAACTATTTACTTTTAACGCTACGAACATCGTTCCAATAGTACATAAGTCTATAAATGGAATGGTTCATCGCTTCTATTATATCATATCAATGGTGTTCATCGATTAAAAACAAACCAAGTGGTATCGAATATTTTGAAAATATGTTAAAATAAATGCGTTTTTGATGGTAACATTTGAGGTCAATGGTGAAGTTTTGCTATTGTGCATTTACTATGATTGTTCTAGAGTCTATTATTGTAACTTTTGTAGAATGATAAGTATTCATCGGCATATATTTTTACATATTTGAAGAAAGATTTACACTTAACAGAGTGTTCAAGGAAGATAATTGCCAGAGATGAAAACAACAATTTTTGATGAATTTATTGGTACCCGCATTTGTTTTTTGTTAAGCTAATTGTTTGTTTCTAAGAATATTGAATAAATACTGCTTTTTTCATTGTCTTGATGATGACATCACCAAGAAGCATATTGTAAATATAATAGCGAGGTGAATTGTATAGACTAGTAGATGGGCACCAGAGGTTACGCCTTGACGAAGTGTGCACTGACATAAATGAAATAGGTCGGACGAAAAACGTGATTCCTAATGGAATCTTTTTTCTCTATGTTGAGGATGTTTGTAATTATATCAACTAGTTCAATAGCACAAAGGTGACGTATCAAGTATTCTATTATAAATTCTGTCAACGTTCGGTAATTATTCATTTTGTATAAATTAAATTTATAATGATTATGATAAAACTTTCGTAAAATCCACAGAAAGCACAACAATTGTTGATTATTAATAAAAGAAAAACTGTAGGATTTTGTGGATATTCTAAGAACTTTGTTGTCATAGAGCGCGGTGGTTTGAAGCTTGATTGTATTGATGTCAGATTAACATGTTAGCTCATCTATTCCAATGTTTGAGTCAACAAAAATAAATTCAACAATAGTCCAAAATATCTTTTGTATCACGATTGTACTCAAGCCCGTTGTTGTACATAAAGTCAGCATTTACTATGATGAAATCTGAAGCAAGTTTATGTGAATGTAAATTTTGGGTGTTTGTCTTGTCACCGGCAAACATTTTACACTGGCCAATTCTTATCAATTATTTTATGAAGTTCAACAAGATCGCCAGATAATACTACATAGTACCAAATGGATAAAACGTTTTTCGAGAATGTAGTAAAATAAAGATTTCTTTTTCTAAAATACACACTCAATATTTTATTGAAAACCTAACACTACTGAACTTCGAAATGGTGATTATTATTATTCTTTATTAATTGAAAGAGTGTGAGTCAAATTGGGTCACTGTTCCACTTGAACATGGCAAAACTATTCAACCAGTTTTGTATTGTCGAGGTAAGAAACTTGCTATCACATTCAATCTTGTACAACAAACTCGACCATCATTTATTCAAATTACAAATAATCTTCATGCCTGCGGAGATTGCCGTGTGTGTGTGTGATAGAGATATTTGAATATTTTCTGTGATCATTGATTTTTAGATGATATCAAGACATAGTACGTGATGTCACTAGTATCTATTATACTCATACTAGGAGACTATGTTTGTGTCAAGATAATTTTAGTTTATTTTGATTTTTTAGTTTATTTTGATTTTCTTAATAAAAATTAATTCTTTTCTATCTCTTGTTAAATTGCTTATTGTTAAATAGAACGAATCATGCTATTCATTGAAAATTTTCTCGTTGTTTCTTTGTCGATGAAATCGTTAAGAATTCTTAAATTAATTTCATTAAGTAAGACACTACGCTTCTAATAGATTTGATTTTCCTAATTTTTCAGTTGACACAAAGTAAATTTGCTCATAAATCAGATTCATTATGATGTACTGCTGTATTTTTTTTTGATCAATTAAAATGTTTGATTTTTCTAGTATATTCTAAAAAGATATGTAGGTGAGGCTGTGTGTCAAAAAATATGAATGAAAATTTGACCTTGAAGAGATGCCTAGTAGATGAAGAGAATATAGCCATATGTACCCTACCAAATTTACCCTACTTAATCCTAAAAAACAAATTTGTAGAACTTATGTGAAGTACGTAACTATTGCTTTGAATATAATGTAATGAAATGAAACAAACAAAGTCATTGTATGAGACTATTTTTTTTGTCTCATCTTATATTATCTTATTCAGATCATTTCTTTGATGACTACTAATGAGATCTTCTTTCTTCAAAAATCTCCTTAACTATATTCATCGAGTCAGTTTCGGCACACAATAGAAATTCCTTCTATTGCGAATTTTTCATGAAAATAGATTCAATGTATTTAGATGCAATGCAACCAATCTCGATATATTTTACTGAAGATTTAATATCGATAATACGCTTGATCAAATTGAGTGAAAAAAGAAATCTACATATTGCATAAAAAAAGGCGATTCTCTTCAGTTACTACCATTTTCTTTATCAGATAATATGTAGGAATTCGGTTCATAATCTGTACTATTTTACCAACCACGATCGAAAATTTGAGTTAACAAAACAATTACACAAACAGGCAGGCAAAATAAGCAGCACGAATAGCTTCGTAAATGATGAGATTCAGTCAGGAATCATTGATCAAGTTCGTAAGTTACATGGAATGTTAATTAGCACTTTTCATCGTCGCATTCTCTGTCCAAAATATTTTTCCTAATTGTAAATATTTGTCTAAATAACTCTTTAAATAGAATGAGTACATATTTATCAATGTTTCAATAAATTTCTATTTCTAAATCTTTTACTATGAAAAGTATTTCACTAAGCTTCTTATCGCATTAATTTTCTTGAATCGACACCGAAAAGCTTATCCAAATATAATTCAGATCTAAGAAAAAGTAACATCAGATACACTTTATTTAATCCCATCAAACGTACAAATCAGTTAAATTAACTAAATGTTCTATGTCAAATCAATGAATTAATTTCAAAAGATTATTTTAAATAAATTAGAAATTTTTATTACTTTTTTTCAGTAGAGAATACAATTCATCAATATTATTTACGCCAACTGTCATTATGGATGGTATTTAAAAAAAAACACTTATATATATATATATATATATATATATGTATACGTATACATATATACACAATGGCTTTGTCTACGAATTATTGATATTAACGTACATGCGCAAACGAAAGAAAAACGAAAACAAAAGCTAGCTGCTACTGAGGAGATTAGACTAGGGGAGAGTAAAAGAATTCGATATAAACAAGAAGAGATATTCAAAAATGTACAAGACTGCATGAGAAACAAAATGATATAAGGGGAAAATGAAGGCTACACCGGTGTCTCGCGTATCCGCCGAGTAAATGTTTGTTTAATATTTGCATGAAATGTATGATGAACAATTACTGTTCGATGATCATCATTATTATCATTTGATATTACAGTTTCTATTCTGTTATTTGAATGTTGATCTTCCATTTTCGCATGGTATATGGTTTTTAATGATGATTGTCTCTGTTGGAATTTATCATTCATTGTTTGTGATGCACTTAATTCGAGTAAATTATTAGCAAATCTTAAACTTTGTAATCGGTCAATTGCGTCGTTTGTACCTAGAATGAATAACAAAGCATTAATTAGCGATAAATATATTTCTTATTCTATTAAAATAATTCATATAAGCCATTAGAAATAGAAAAATACAAAATAATATATTAGGATTTAAAGCTATAAAATAACAGTCGAGAGGAAGAATAAGATATCGATAATACGGGTATTAATGCCCATATTAAAGGTTAGAAAAATAATTATATTCTAAAGGAAAAATCTGACGACAGATTTCGATATCTATTGTGAAAAGCAGAAGTTAGCCTTTATATTTACCCCTGTGATACAACTAGTGATAGGATTGATTAGTATGGTATCTATTCTGGAATAATGGAAAAATTGAGAACATAACTCAAACTAACAATCATACTGTGTACAACGGAAAAGCATACAAATATCTCACGCAGGAAAAGAAAAGAAAAGAAAAGCATCACCAATAAGAAGCGTAATCAATTATTCATGCAAAAACAAAACCTATACTGTAATATAATACATTATTATCTCTTCATAAATAAATAAATAGATAGATAGATTGATTGATTGATATATTCAATATGAAATTACAAATAGAAAATATATAGAATAAGTATCAAGCAAGTAGCATTAATTAAAATCAGATGATCACTGTTAAGAGATAGAAATAAACGATTGTGAAAAATAAATATAGAACATAAGGAAATAATTGATTTTATATATCGATTGCTGGGCTGTTTTTCTTTTCTTTTTAGTACTAAAATTTTTATTGTCCTGTACTTACATATCATAGACGTACGCTGACAGTCGAGTATTTTACTTATAGAATAGTACAATGAAGAAAACGATAGACACGTGACGATGATCGTGATGTTGATGTTGATGATGGCAACGTTGGTGGTGATGGTAGCGATGATAGTGATGGTGGTGGCGCTGAAGATGATTCAATAGGAGAAGAATCTGATAGGTGATCAGACGAATTAATAAGTGTTGTGGAACAACTGCGTGCCAATGTTGTTGAATACATTTCATTATGTTGTACATAAGCATTTGAACTAAATGATCGACGTAATGGTATAACAATATCTGTTTTGTGGTAATCATGCAAATCATTCAATTGAATATTTGTTTTATTATTTTTATCATCATTATCGTCAGATAATGATATGTCATCAATGGGTGATTTTTCCGTCTGATCATCAGAATACCATGAACCAGTGCGATGACCTAATGATGTCATGTACGTTACAGCTCGTACTTTTGCCCAAAGTTTACTACTATTATTTATTGTTTTTATTGATCGTTGTTGAAGTTTATTAAACCACCATTGTGGTAAAAGTGCTGGTTGTACAAACATAGCATAATCATGAATATTATAAAAATCAATATCATTCGATAGTAACTGTACTCCATTCAAAATCAAATCTGATGCTGTATTCAAATCTCTTTTTCTCACAGCAGTGACATGTAATTTTGCTTGGTTGCTAGTGTCATTATTGTGATTATTATTATTATTATTGTTATTATTATTATTATCATTGTTATGATTAGATGTAATAGCAGCTGTTTCGCACGAATAAAAATTAGCTATAGAAAATCAATGTGTGAAATTAGAAAAAAAGAAATGATGAGAAAAAACACACTATTAAAAGATGATGAAAATGTAGACCAACCTTGTAATAGATGTACTGTTAATGCTAAATAGACTGGCTAAACAATAAGATTTTCATATTAAAGGAATAGATTTAAATAAGTAAATTATTCATCAAACCTTATGATCGCCCATGCACACATCTTCTCCTAAGACGCTATATGTTATTTGATTAATCTGAAAATTTTATCAAGAAAAGAAAAAAATAACTTCAATTAATTTTACAGCATGTCAAGAAAAATAACCTCAGTATTAATCATTTTCTTGAATGGATAACTCAATAAAATACGATCACACCAAGCAGGACATCGAACAGGTAAATAAGAATGAGCTTCTTCGAGTTCTTCACTGTATGGATAACTAAAAGTAAAAAATACGATTTGTCATATGAGAAAAAACGGAATAAACAACTTTTCTTTTATCACAAACCTAGGTGGGAAACTCTTTTCATACTCAAATAATTGATCAGCAAATGACGACAATTCATCATCGAACATATGAAACTAAAATATAATGTAAGTAAGACAAGAGAAAGGAAAACGTTTTAGACATTGTGTATATTCGAACATATTTTTCTGCATTAACACTGTAATATATACATACATAGCTATTAACATCACTATAGAAATAAATGAGAAAACAATAGAAACGTTTTTCTTCTCAAAGATGTTCCAAAATTTCGCTATGTACTAATGTTAAATTAATGAATCAAACATGTGGATAAGTAATGCCTTCAAAATGGCAGGGAATCATTTTTAAAATATTCGAAACGTTTTTTTACATGATTATCAAAATTTGAATATTGTGATTGGAAGCGAAAGGAAAGCTTTGAGTTCAAAGTTTCTTGATAAGTTTAAATTTCGTAGTTATGTTTTAATGTTCATTCAAATTCAACGAAGTCGTCGGTCGTCATATGAAATATCTTTTTATTTTTCTAATTCTAGTGTTTTGGCCTTGCATGATCATTGAACACAAAAGAATAGTGAACAAATGTTCATATTTTACTACATCGATTTTCAATATATGAAAAATATCCTATAGAATAATTTTAAGTGTACTTAATTTACTTTCAGCAGTATAAAAATTGAAGCCTTCTAAATCTCATGCCTGTAGAAAAGTCACGTTCAAGTGAGAAAATATTTTTTAATACACTACCCATTCTAGAAGGTAGGTCCATAAAAACAAAGCAAAGTCAAAATGAATCTGCAATGGAAGTTTATTATTTCATCTATGAATTTCAATACGAGATAACAATTTTTTTATTGGTATTGATAACATGAATTTCTTTCGAACAGGCTATCGTTATTTCGTCGATATTCTTACCTGTCGAGAGTCAGTACTAAAAAATGAATCATGATCATCGTGAAGATTAAATTCTTTTTTTCCAATGGTTAGTTTTGTTTTATTTTGAGAATTTTTTATAATAATTTTTGAAATTTCATCAGTATCAGAATGTTTGATTTTATCAATAGAACCATCACGTTTTTCAACCATATGCTATTGAATAGACAGAAAAAAAAACAAAGCAAAATCACATTGATTATTAACAAAACTAGAATTTACTTCAAGCAAACGGTGACCATTAAGTCGAAAATTGAAATCACCAAATATGACATAAGGCACAGATTCATCAGAAGAATTAAGTGGTAAACTAATTTTTTTTCAAAGTATTGTTAGAAAAAAATAGTATATTTATAGTCATTAAAAACATTCTTGTACCTTTTTAAAGTAAACTCAAGAGCATTTTTACGAAAATTACTGTAAATAGAAGGACTTTGTTCAACTGCCACAATATTTGAAGCATCATGGAAAAGATGAACGTTGACCATGTCAAAAATACTAAAAAGACAACAACAATACCAAACTGTAAATCGAAGTCATCTGTTTGTTTTCAATTATTTTTTTTACAAGTTATTTATGGACCAACGTGCTTGCGTAAAACCTTTTCGAGACCACTTAGCCTAATGAAAAGTAAAGGGTTTGTTAGAAAAATTGAATTTAAAAAATAAAATTTTATTTAAGATTTTTACCTCTGAAAAAAATTCGCGAGGAAACTTCTTCTTCCGAACTGTTTGAGTTTGAACCAAATTCCCAGTAAAAATTTGACGCTGAGTAACATTTTCAAAACATGAGGCTAAATATTAAAAATAGCAGAAGCACTAGATATTTTCTTTTATTTTACTTGTAAAATTCCATTGCTGTATAGGTATATTTTCACGTACAAAATAAGCCGAACCAAGAGCCTAAAATAAACATTTATAATAAACAAACTAGTGTTTTATTTTTGTGCTTAGAAAACTTTTATTTACCGTAAATGTATCCTGAGATGTGTAATCCGTATCAAAATAAAAACGAGACCGAGTATAGTGGTTAGTGACTTCAGGTATTCGAAGAATATCTCTATTGGAAGAAAAAGAAAACAGATTCAATTTGAATTTCAAATGAACAATATTAAATAAAATTACTTTATAAATGGATCAAGAATGTGCATAAATCTTTCATAATCTTTTCCACCAACTTCTTGACAATGCAATGCAATAAAATCGGATGGATGCTGACGTAGAAGCTAAAACGTAAATATTCAACAATTTTTGAATAAAATATTTATGCGCCATTTTGAGCAATACAAGTTTTTTTTCTCTTATTGGTCTCTTTCAATTACTTTCTATATAATGATTTTAATTAATCAATGGTTTAAATATATGTTTATTCATTATGCATCATCAAATGAAGATTTAAAAATGTCTTCTTCAGATCAATTTTACGATAAAAACATAGATTCAACTCGGGTAAGCCGAATTATTGTCGACGGGAACTGTTTCTTGAATGAATCAATTACTGATCGATGTACTCTTGTTGAAAAATCCTCAACCATGCATGATACCGATGAAATGCGTTATAACGATGAGCAGAAGAAACATCAAAGTAGACCATTACAAAACTCGGTAGAAATGCACTTATCAAAGCAAAATAAAATTATTATTGATAAATTTAAGGCATGCTTCATAGATTGTGAATGTCTATGTGAAGTGAGAACACTTAAAAATAAAATTTCTTTTAGAGAGAAAAAGTTATTTCATCGCTTTTCTGGATTTTTTCAAGGCAAGAAAAACAATTCCCCAACTGAATACAAATGAATTTATTGAAAAAAAATATCAATTATTTGAAGAACTTTTTGATCGAATACGCGGACCATCATATTATCTACAGTGTAACTGTGATTGTGGAAAACAAGGAATGAGAAAACTTAAATTTAGCTATGCTAATGATGATGAAGCAAACTATGTGCATTCATGAGTATGATTGTCTTTCTTTTTTTCTTGTTTTCAATAAATTAAATATTAAGTATGCTCTGTTAATCTAGAACCATTTTTTATAATATTTCTTTCACTTATTCTCATCGCTTTACTACTTAATAGAATCGATAACGACGCTTTGCTTTCTTTCTATACACTGATGATAAATGATAGCCAATTTATATATTACTTACATTTGCGAATTCGGTCACCCATGCAGTTAACAATTCGGGCTAAAAACAACGAGAAAAAAATTCGCTGTCAACATATAGAATGCAAAAGAGAAAAAAATTTCATATACCTTTTCAAATATTGTGCCAGTATTAGCTGTAATCAGTAAAAACCGAATGTTAGATTGGTTTTTAAAAAATATCTCCTCGCTATTCATCGTCGTTTATCAATGAATAGTAAATCAATATTTTGATTATCCATATTAATGTTTATGTTGATATTTGTAATTTTTATCTATATATATATGAAAACAGCATTCAAATGACAAATTCTGTTACTGCCTATCTATTGCATATGTAAATATGAAATAAGATAGGACTAGGCAAATGTATCATATGTTCTCATTTCTTAAAACATAGCTCATAGCAAGATGAATGAACTGCAGTAAAATCGTAAATTTATGAGACGAGAAAAATAACAGGTGTAGATAATTATCCGATGATGTAAAAAAGAACACGAAGAGGTCAGTAAATTTCACAGCTATGTACGCGTAGATAAAAGTATTTATATATATATATATATATCTATATATATTATATATCGGTTCGAATAACTTCTCTCATAGATGGGAGGAAGTTATATGTAAAAGGAAATATCTTTTGCCCGATTGATAGTTTATAGAAGAGTAGTAGTGATGATGATGATGTGATGATACATACTTGGCCAACGACGCCGTCGCTCTTACGAGTCTTTTTTTCTTCGCTTTTACTCTTTCGTACAGTTGAATGTGTAGCAGAACATAGAGGAAAAAAGAGCGAAGTAAACGAGCAAGCAAAAAGAAAAAAAAAAGAAGAAAGAAAGAAAGGGAATCGGCGTTGCTGTTGATGACGTACGTAGGCCTCTCTCTCGTTTGACACACAACAACACCGTATTGCTGCAATCATCGACTTTCTTCTTCTCTCTTCTCTCGTCTCCTCAGGATAGCACACACATGCATGCATATACCATACAATTAAAACAGTACTGATGGTTTTAGTTGTCGTTTGAATGAGTGCGTATATCTTTGTTCTGTCTGCCGGCATATACACATTTATCATCATTTTTTTATTCTTAGCTTCAAGTGTTCTCCATGTGATACGAGTCTCTGAATGACTTTAAAATAAAAATAAAATATAAATAAATGATGACGTCAATCGTATACAACAATCACGTGATTGACACAAATTTTGATTTCCTTTAACCGCCTACCTCCTTTGGTAGTCGATATATTCATGCATATTTATTAAATAGCATGTCAAATCACTAATGGTACTAGAATAAGGAGTATCAGCTGGATCGATACAAAGCCTTCGATTTTCTCAGACCATCTGTTGTCATTATTTAGCGAATAGCATTTTGAAAAAGAGTAACCTAGGGAAATTGAGACCAGCAATAACTAATACGAATGGTTGAGAAAAACAAAATGTCTGCATATGATATGGAACTACAAACACAATCAATATTCGATTAAACATTCAAAAATAATCAATCTCCAACTGCTTTATATTAACTATGCATTCAAGCAATAATAGAATAGATACAACCATCATTTTGTTTTATTACTTCTATCAACAGAAAAAGCTCGTTCTATTTGTTTTCTCTTCAATATATGCCTGTGACATCAGGAAAATATATATATATATATATAGGTTTATTTTTGCTTTTGACATCTAATGATGCGATACAATAACAAAAATACAGTTTTGCATGCTGTTGCTGTCTGGTGCACACAGACATCGTGCCGTTTTTCTTATTCCACATCTACTGCCTAACTAACGCTCTTTCCCATCAAACCAACGAAACATATAGAGTACATGAGAACGCATACAACGATGAAAAACATTCGTGGGTGTAGACAAACAATAAGCGAAAAAACACATGCTAGTACCATACTACGCACATATAGATACATACAATCGTCCATTGGCGATCACAAAATATCAATGACAAAAATACTGTAGGCAACAAAGGTTATAAAAATTAGGCATATGTCTTTCATTTACATTTGTAATCTTCTTTCAAAATAGAAATAGACAAGCGTGTACTAGTATCTATAATAACAATAATATAGATCTGGGAAAATTCAATACTCATATATAAATATGAAAGTTTTTTTTTGTTCCAGAAGATGAGGAAGAAAAAAAGAATTATTTCACATCCTTTTTTCTTGTCATTTGGTGCATATTAATAAATACATATAGATATAGATATATTTATATTTCGTAAATAGATTATAATTAAATACTTGTGTAAAAAAAAGAAACAGAAAAGACTAAGAAAGAGAGAATTTTATAGTTCTTTGAAAGACATGTTAAAAATTCTATCTTGCCATTTATAACTACTGGTATACATATAAGATGGATTGAGTGCTTTGTTTTGTTTTGTTTTCGTCTATCGTAGCTTTTTTTAGCAGCAAATAAATGAGATATGATGTGTGAAAAGAAACTACATATATCACCATTCAGATATTTATGTAGTTGTTACATGATTTTGGTGTGACGAAAAACGAGATTGTTTTGTCATTAAATTATCACATTGAAAAGAGAAGGAGATAGAAGTACTTGTTTTATCCTAATCAATTCAATATATATATATACATATATACTTTTTTATCTTTTAGCGATGAAATCGATTGACTAGTAACTTCAGTTGTCCTTTTGAATCAGCAGTAACCATAACATAAATAGGTCCATTATTATTCGTTGTAGTAGATATTTCTAGCGGACTTGATGCTGCATGTACGCAGATAAAACGTGCTCGACTACTGTTAACAATGGGTGTTGCTGTAGATATTGTTGTCGACGCAGAACGTGGTAGATTATTAGAATTATTAGAACGATTTGTTTGAGATAAACTATCACTGGTTAATGGTAAATTTGATGAATAAAGATGATCCATAATTGAATTCGGATTCGGTGCAAATATTGCAGATGTTACCATAGTATTATGAACTGAAAATCACGAAAAACGAACATAAATTTTTTTATTCTCATATAGAACCTCCTCATCTATATAAATTACCTCGAATACGTTCAAAGACACGATCAAAATGACGTCGTTGCTTTCTTGTTAATTTAGCATCAGTTGTACTACTGCCATTAGAATTCATTATACTACTTGGCTCAGTTCTCCATATATAAAACCAACTATCTTCACTTCCACTAAACAGATTCAAAAAAAAATAAAAATAAGAACAATTCAAAAAGTAGATTTTCATGAAGCCTATACCTTATTATATATCTATCATCATGACTAAATGATGCTCGAATTTGACTTGACTGATTTGAATAGCCACGATATTTAAGTTCAATCTCTTTTGTTCGAATATCATATAAACGTATTCGAGAATCATTGGATGTGATTAAAACCTAGACAACATCAAATGAATTTATATTTCTTATATTTATATGATCTATCGTACCTTTGAACTGTTTGAATTCATGGATTCAATACCAGTAATTTTATATGGTTTTCGACGTTTTTTTCTCGATCGATGATTTCTACTACCATGTTTATCACCAATATTCATTACAGTCTATTAACAAAAACACAAGATATTATGAATAAAAATAAATGATCGAATTGATAAAAATCAAATAAATACTAACGTCATATTGTAATGAATCGGTATAGAGTAAAAATCGACCATCGAATGTTCCAACAATTACTTTACGACCATCATCGCAAAAATTAACAGCTGTAATTAAATTTGCTTGAGCGGCACTTATTTGTGATGATGCTTGAGCAGGAATCAAAGTCCAATAAACAACACGTTTATCGGGAATATTCCATAGGCGAACATGCCTATAAAAAATAACAATATTTCTATTTGCTGATGAATATAATGATCACATTGTTAGCGGTCAGTCTTAGCAAAGCATTTGTATTAATTTAAAATCGATCAAATACAGTAGAAAGCATTTTGTTTCCTGCCATTTACATTCAAAAAAATCATCTCTACATTCAAATATTAGCATAGATTTTTTATTAAAAAAAATAGCATACATTTTGATGTTATTATTATGGTGAATAATTTTATGTATCATAAAAAAAAGTTGTCAAAGATTATATATTATGTTATTTACATAATAAAAAAACAGAGGCAATATCTCTGAAAGTATTACAGCATATAGCAATGAAAAGTTAATTGCAGCTCAGTTACTAAAATCTACTATTAGAATGATAATTTCGATCAAATAAATTTACTAAGAAATTTATAATAGGATAAATAGAAAAAAATAAAAATTTACTTGATTAACTTACCCATCTAAACTTGCTGATACAAAATATCGATCATCGCGTGGATGAAATGCAATGGCTGAGACAAAATCAACGTGACGAAAAAAACATAAACATTCAAGTCGACTTAAATGCCACAATCGAACAGTTTTATCCATGGATGATGAAAGAAGAAATAAAGATTTTGACCAAGCAACATCAAGTACAGGGGCTTGATGACCAATAAGTTGACAAAACGGCCGTGGATAAAGTGGAGCTTGCATTTCGTTCAGGCCAAGTTTTGAATTAATTGTAGGTGTTATTGATTCAGATGATATTGTTTGATGAAATTCATGAAATCTTCTTGTTAAAATTTCATTTTGTTGCTTCGACGGATCTGCTGTCATACGTGAAAAATCATCGAAATGAGGTTGTGCTGATTTAAGTACCCAAACTTTAAGTAAACTATCTTGACCACCGGTTGCAAGAAGTTGACCATCAGGTGAAAATCTATATTTAATGAAAAAAGAAAAAACAAAAAAGAATCAAAACAATGAAACTTTGTTTTTTCTTCTTCTTACTTCATACACCAAATAGGTCCATTGTGAGCATTAACAATTGTTTGTAATAATTGTGTTTTATCAAATTGTGGTTGTTCTTTTAAATTTCTTGATGATTTATATTTAAGATCACCATTTGAACCATCATTAATTAACAATCTTTCACCATCCTCTTCTTCTTCATCCATGTCAACAACATCATTGTGTCCATGAAGAAATTTTTTTCCGTTTTTCCGTAGAAAACTTCGATTAACTAATCTCGATAACTGTCGTTTACCATCATGAAATAATGATGTTGCTACACGTAAAGCCGCTGCTGATGATTTATTTATTGGGGATGATGATAGTGAAATAGCTATTGTATGACTTGATTTTGTACTTGAAGATTCTGATGATGTTGACTCATTATCATCATCTTCGTCACCATTAGATTTATGTCTTTGACGTGGAATACTTGTTTCTAAATTATTTGTGCCATTTAAACTATTACTATCGGATGGATTTTGTCGAATATTATTATTATTTAATATCGAATTCTGACGTAATGTTATCATACTATTACTACCATGAACACGTTCCAATATTGTTTGTGTCATTGGATTGGCGTCACTTAATGTAATGTATTTACCATTATCAAGATTGTGTAGTACTGATTTTCGAAGTCGTTGATTTTCATTGAATTTTTGATGATTTGATGAGAATTCACCAATTTTTTTCATACAATCAACGAGGCTTAAATCAACAATATTTGGTTCACTAATAGCAGATAAATTTGTTAGTCTTGAAAAATACCCATCACCGTTACGAGTTGATGTAGCCACAGGTAATGTTGGATATGGTAATGAACGTTGCTGTTGATACGACTGTGCTATCGGGGATGAGTTGATTAGAGTTTGTTTTGTTACAGATAATAATGAAACCTATATGAAAAAGAAAGCATAATAATAATTGAACTCGACGATTTAATTCTATCAGAATCTAAAACTACACTAGAAGTAAGAGGATTTATTTTTTTTCTTATTATGCAAAACTATAATAAGATATAGTTTAGCATAATACTTTAAACATCTTTTATAAACAAACTATCGATAGTTCATGTTGTTAATTCAACCATCATTGATATAGTGTTGACGAAATATTAATATAGATTTCACTAGATTTATCTATAAAATACTTTTTTTAAATCTATCCCGAAACATTAATTCTCTAAGTATGATATATGTATTATTTTTAGATTACAAACCATTTTTTGTCGACGAACATGATCACTATCAATATGGTCTTTAAGAAGATCTGACCCTGATGATTCATTTTCATTAATGGATTGCTGTTCTTCTATTTGATTTGATTGAATAGATGACAGTGTTGTTGATGATAATATAGAATTTGACTCGATAGGAGATGAAATTATGGTAACTATTGGATTTTCATTATTTCGATTAACATGATCTTCTTGAGCACGCAGTCGTTGAAGTTTATCTCTTCTTGCTATGTCATTTAATTGACTTTCAGTTAATGTAATTGTACAAAACTGTTCCTAATAAAAAATTTATAACAATAAAATGATTTTTATAGAATTCAATCGCTCTTTTTTTGGTTAAAACATACAGATTTTTTCGGTGGGTCATTTTTTGATAGTAATGCCCACCTTGAATCTGATGGAAAAGGTCTATAATTAAAAAAAAAAGAGAAATATAAATGTTTATATTTATTTATGATATTCTACTTTTCAATATTTGCTGCTTTTTCTTTCAACACATGAATAAGTCATATGTTCATTTAGGAAAATATTACTATTGCAATTGTCCATTTTTAGAAATTAAATTAGTCCGTACATAACTAATTGGAAATAAAAGAGGAGAGCTGTTTCAGGAAACCGTCTAAACTTCTAACGAGAAAACAATATAAACAAAAATATATTTCAGGGCAGGAAAATGAACATTTCTAGTTTGATTAAATCGATTTTGTTTCAAAAGTATGCATAAATGTTGTTAAATTAAAAATTAATACATCTCATGGGGATATATACAATTCATTGAGTGCCATACATGACATTCATTGTGAACGCTACCAAAGTTTTATATGGAGTGTGTTGACAAAAGAAAATTAACTTGTATTTTTACTCTAGTCCAACAGAAAATAGTAGGCCAATATCAAAGATTATGAGATAGATGCATAATCAAATCCATTCCATTAAATTGTGAAATTTTGATAAGAATACATTCTTTCTATTTGAATCGAACTCATATTGATCTACGAACCATCTTTTTTTGATCTCGAAAAATAGGATTTAATTTCAAAAATGTATATATAGAAGATATCTGTAATACTAGAAGAAATTTAAAAGAATTTGAGCATGAGACCCAGAAATTATATCGGATTCCCACTCACATCTATCTAGCGTAGAATAAATAGTTAGGAAACATATATTGTGCCATCGTATAACTTTAGGCCTGTTGTAAGAACAGCCAGGAAGTAATATCGAACTTGCAAAACACGTTCGTATGAAACAGTCACGCGAATCTTTAATAATATTAATTCTACCTGAATGTTCTTAGATAATAATAACGCATGTCGACAAAAAAAAACAGATCAAGGAATTTCGCATCAGGATATTTATCATGTTGAAAACGATATGAAAATTATTTCATAATCAAATGAACTAAATTTTAAAGATAGCTGGAAATTTCTCATCATAAAAAACAATTTGAAAGACAAATCTAAAATTCTCAGTGTTCTGATTAATATCTATTATCACTAATAATACAAATCTGTAGATATGAAAATTTTATTTGAAACAATTAATGTAGTCACCAAAAAGACTTTATTAGCAATACTGACTACTGTTGTTTCATCTAGTTTTCAAATCTCATTTGCTCTAAATCGGATTATTGATAGTAAATGATTCCCATTCTATTCTATTGTTATTGATAACAGTCATCAAAAAAGAATTCTGGTTCAAACAATGGATTAATTCAAATTCCTACTTACGGGTTTACTTCAACGTTAGTCCAACTACTATTAGCATCATAAAAGACTAGATCTTCATTATCATCGGTTGAACTAGTGTCATCATTTTCACTGGATGATGCCATCTATATTAACCATCTAAAAAGAAACCACAACAAAAAAAAAACAAGAACCAATCTCAAAGTTCGTTAGCATTATCTTGCATAGCATCAAATAAACTATTTTCATCGCTAAAATAAATTTGAGCTATTTCCGACATCGTATGATCACCTAGTGTATATAAAGCCATAGGTGTGGAGATCGATTTGAATTCATCATAAACGGCTGCTTTAATTGAATCTAAATCAAAAGATTCTTTTTCATCATTTTCTTCATCAGTTTTTATCCATTGACGTATTTGAGCTAATTGTTCAATTTCATTTCCATTAGGTTCGTCGTATTTTTCTAAAAAGAAATCATGGCTATTTTCTGTTTTACATTCAAGTTGATGATTGAAATAATTTTCAATCAAACATTTCAATTCTTCAACAGTATGAAATTTATGAAAATAGTCTTGTCGATCATCTTGTTCATCACTTTCTTCTATTGTTTCATAAACAAATATAAATTTATTATCGTGAAAATAAAGCGTTTCAAATGGTATGGATGAATTTGAATCACATATAATAACACGAGCATGTTCAATTAATTTTAATGTTGATGTCTGTTCATTTAGTATAACATTTTTAGATTGAAATAATTTTTCAACATGTTTTTTTTCTATATCAATTAAAGATAAAAACGGATGTTTTTCATTATCTTTACATTCATATGCTAATGGATGTAATTTAATGGCATGAGAATAATCTAATTTTAACATATATTCAATGATATCAGAATTAGATAAAAGACTAAATGGAGCATTCGTAAACGAATAACTTGGACAAATAAGAATTTCAAAATCTTTTTCGAAAGATAATTTTTTCTCTTTAGTTTGAATATAGTTTGTAAATGTTATTGGTAAACAATGTGTATATGCATAAGCACAACTTTGACATCCATACATGCAATGTCCAACAGGATAAACATCAATAAGTGATGGACTATATTGTTGAATTAGACGAAATAGACGTAATTGTAATTGTCCAAATAAATAATTTGTTGATGCTGTTAAAAGAACGACAACTTTTCGATGTTTTTCTTCTATTAATTGAGATATAATATTATCAATACTAAAGTCATGAATATGAATTTGTTTAACATGCGAGAAATATTGTTTAACGCGTTCATATGCTGGATTCCATTTATAGATAAAAAGGTGAACATCCGTGTAGGATGCAAATGAATGAACTAATTCTGCATGAGCATATCCAGTATGATATGGAATGAAAAAAGTCAGATTTTCCGCCATGTCTTTACTTAAATACTATTCACTATTCGAAAGAAATTTTAGTTAAAAATAGCACATTGAACATAACTAAACATTAGAAATAGAGGAAAACAAAAACTTCTTGCAAGATATGGAAACGAATGCATTTGGATTGGATATTTGAATTGATGAATTTTTCACCATGTGCTCCTAGATGTCGCACTCAACTAGTCGTGAAAACTACACTAGTATGCATATATGCACAATCACGTTTTCACCATTCATTATTTATTCTAATTACTTCTCTATGAGTATACAGGTCATTTTAATCGAATCGTCTAGTTCGGGTTGTTAACATTAGCAGTAGTAGTGCTTAATATTTAAAGATAAATGTAAATGTCAAAAATAATTTCATTAAAAAACAACTTCATGGATAAATGAAACATGCATTTACTTATTGACTAATATAGACACTCAGTGTAATCAGTGTTTCTAATAGAAATCTGAAATAAAATGTTTTTGTACATTTTGCTTATGTGAAAAACGTGTCTCTTCACCCTTTGATTTTATCAACAAAGTGCATCAAAGTGTAAATAAACGAAAAGAGTTCAGATAATCTAGAAATATAATAAGAAAAATTCATTTTTTTATCTGTTTCATAGAGAAAGAAAGTCACATAGATTATAAACAACCAAACAAGAGCATTACTAGGGGTTGCTATTTTTTATTCAATATTATCACATTTAGTTGAATACTTTTCATTCATAGCATGTACGGTTTTTGATGAATTAATAAATACATTTTTACATAGAATTTCGACCTCATAATGTGAATCTGTTGATACAGCAAGTGATGATGACGATGACAGTAATTTTATTCCGTCCAAGCATACAAAGATTTAGCGAAATGCGTTTTCGTGATCTAAAATCAAAGTGTTATCTTCTTTTTCAAAGTGTAAACCTTACATGTTTGTTTTCTGAGCAACGTGTAAGCAGAGTGTACTTCGAAAACAGCAGGTGTTCCGGACATTTTGCTCCTGCTGCGTATACCTGCTGTTAGAAACACTGAGTGTAATCAATAATCATCGACGGTTTTTTATTAGAATTACGCATTTCATATGCTCTACTATTATTATGACGTACTGTTTCTTATTTCTGCTTCTAAATTTGTAATTTGAACACGAATAATATGCTTTAAATATGCATGTGAACTGAAAAAATATTATAAATTAATGAGTAAAATTGCGCAGCAACTATTTCACATTATACGATCAAGTTCCAGCAATGACTTAATGAATCTTTCTTCGTACTCGTTTACTTTCATAAGTGCCCTTTTTATTTTATTTTTACCTTAATCTCTACTGCAAACTACACAATGTCATTCGATTCGAATAGAATTATAAGTATATGTAAAAAATATAAAAGACGTTGTTATTTTCTACATCCAATCACCGTGATTACTAAACGAGAAATAGATGAAGATTGATGTAAGCATTTATAGACGTTTTTGTAAGAATTCTTTTTCTCTTGATTTCACTCAGTTTCCGGCTAGAATCACGTCAACATGATTTATTGCAACATTATGAAAGGTAGCAATGTCTAAGAACACATTGCGGTATGAATTAACTTTCAAGATCTTATCTGATACAGATACATATAGCGAGAAATATCACGAGTTTCTAATTACTTGGATTCGATCACAGATGTCAAAACAAGTTGTCTTCATAACAAATTTATGTCCAGTTCTTTATCAATGCCAACAAACAATGTGAAGACTCATTTTCATTTTAGGCTCATTGATGCAGAATAATTTTTTGAATTTACTAGACTACATAAAAATCCTCAGTTGATTACATTTTGAATTTTAAATACTCATGCGCATGGTATTTATCATTTGATGATTATGATAATGAAACTCCATGTACACTGCATTTATTTCCTAATCGATAGAATATATTAAATACTAGAGAGAGAACTACTATGCAGTGTAAAAACAAGAGTATCATATTAGACAATATTTAATCAACTTTTCTTGAAGTTGAGTTTCGTAATTTTTTCAGTTAATATTTAATAATTGTCTAACACAATAGTATGAATCACACTTGAGGGATATATCATGATGAATCATGTAATTCCATCGAAACCTCAAATGGATAGTTATCTTCGTAACAAGTTTTATGTTGTTCCCATCATATTTTCGTCTATGATGATGCATTAATTACTCTGAAATCAGTAAATCATGGCCTAGATATTCAATTTAGCAATTTAGTTGATGGTACTAAAATAAAAAATCAAGAGAATTTTTGAAAATAAATAATATGAAAACTTATTGAGTAAATAAAATAATGAAGAAACCTTAAACTCATCAAAATTTAAAAATAATGTTTATCATTGAATATTTTAATCCTATCAGAGTTAAAAAAAACTGCGTTCACCTTTATTCATCTTTACAGAATAATATAAGAAGCAATTCGTTGTGTAATAAATAAACATATATCATGGAATTGGTAATGATTTAGCTCATCATATACTATTCTTTTTTCAGTGATAGAAACAATTATTTCGTATTTTACTGTTCTGGTAGATGTTTTTTTCTGCATACATAACATGATGATTATTAACAAATCAGTACGATTAGCTATGCGAACAAAGAGAAGAAAATGATTATTTTCTCTAGAATTGAAGATAATTTTATGAAATAATCTTTAGTCATGTGAGAATGCTTTTATCCAATACTAGTTTCGTTTCCTTTTCAGTTGCAATTATAGATTATCCATAAAATATTGTTTTTCTCTTTTGTAAATAGAATTCATTTCATCAATGCATATTCTTAGTATTGATGAATATTGATGAGAAGACAAAAAGCCATGTTATCTTTGTTTTTCTCGTCTATTGAATTCCTTCCCTAGGCTTTATTGTTATCCGAACATGACATTAACTTTAAAGAAGAATAAGGAGTAAATGAAAGCGTTCACAATAGAAAAAAAGTGAAGAGAAAAAAAGGAGAATAATTGAATCGAAGATGTTCTTGCTTTTTTTCTATGTCGCTTTGGTTAACTAGTTGATATTGAATATAATATAATTACTGTTGCTTTTTTAAATATTCTTCAATGGCTTTTGAATCACGTTTAAGTACTTCAGAACGCATATGAATTGTTTCAAGTGCTTTCTTGACTGGACGTGCAACAAGAGGTGTATTCATTGATTCAAAGAATGATTTTATTTCACTTGCCGTTTTTTCGTCCGCAAAATCTGACAAACCATACTAAATTAAACGTACAATTAGATTAAATAAAATAAAAATAGAAATAGAAATATTTACTTCAACAAAAGCAATAAGGAAATTGCTCTTGTCACCAAAACGTTCAACAAGTGATTTCCAATTCTTTTGTAAAAATTTCCAAACTAAATCTCGACCATCACAACTTGATGTACAACCAACAATGCCTGATATTGAATCTTGCATTCGAACATTATCCTAAAAACATAAAAAATATACAAATTAGAAACATTAGAGATTGTGCAACGTACGCCTTCGAATACAAATTTCAATGTATTTTCAATTATTTCTGGTTTAATTGATTGGCCCATTGAACGAAGTAATCGAACTTTTTCTTCAGTCATATCAGCTGCAAAATATAGCTAATTAAATAAAACAAGCATTAAAAAGTCTTGTCCTTTTGATGATTATTTTCATTACTTTACGAAGAGCTTCTTGTGTACTTTCATCTCCATAACGTGCAACAATAACATAAACAGCACCACGAATGTTAGGATCAATTAAATCTCCAGCAATATGGCGTTCAAAACGTTTTTTAGCTTCGTCGATTACATCTTGATCGCCAGATTTACCAACAATACTTAATATCATTGGGCGTAACATAGCTGAAAGTGGATTTTCATTTTGATCAGCGTCCCAACCAAGTTTCTTTTGTATTGATGAAAATAAATTTAAACGATACTTTTTAAATTCTCCAAAATAATTTGTATATTCAAGTAATGATGTTAAATCACCAATATTTGATGCTAAAATGAAAGTTCATGATTAAAAAGAAAGAACGACATTGGTGCAAAGCAAAGGCTCCTATTGTAGGTATGAAAACATTACAGATGATGTTCCTCATTTTTCTGACATGTTCGATCTCTTGAAATTATCAAAATCAAAAGGTCGAGCACGTTTTTTCTTTGATAAATCAAAAACATCAATACAGTAACATGTCATTATATGAAAACAATGAATCACTTTCTCAACGAACACGAACAAGAGACGAGTCAGTTTTTTTCTTTCTCTTACCAATCGATTTCCATACAGTGAAATTATCTTCATCTGTATATGATGGTAATAATTTAAGATAATCAACAAACGATTGATGTCCAGCATTGCATAAAGCAGCAACATCATTTTGAATCATAAGACGATCTTGTGGACTTATTGTTTTGCTAGATATTGCTTCATTGAGGCGTGCCAATGTGTCAAATTCATATTTAACACGATAAAGACCAATGGAATTATAATTGAATTTAATCCAATCATCTTCAAGAATGTTATCTAATGTAATTGTTGTTTCAGGTTTTTCCAGCAATATTTGTTGAGCAATTTGTTTCGGATTTGATTTTGTGAAAACAGTAACGGGAATTTTCCATTGAAGATTTTCATCATCAGCACTACCATCAGCAATAAAACGTTGTTGTTTTATTTTAATGACACGAGTTTTATTAATTTGTTCTTCTGTTACAGTTAAAAGTGGATAGCCCTATGAAAAATTGTCAATAATATAATTATGTATTCATTGAAAAATAAAAAAATCTTTTCATAATAGTATTCAAACAATTTCAACGGTAAATGATGCTTCTTTAATAGATATCAAAAAGACTATGCTGCAAGTTTCGCAAAGATTGAATGATTAGTTTAAAAATATGCTCTTCAGATTATAAATTGATTCTGTTATTTAAAAAAAATGTTCATATTAATCAAACAATCCATAAGAGAGAAATAGAAGCCATTCATTGGATAGTTTCTCCCCGTAATTCTGCGTGTTCAGTCATATTGACATACGAAGTACTTGATATATCAACGACCATAACTCTTATGTAATATGCTTTATAGGCTTTTACAAAACGATTTATACCGACGAACAAGAAATTATAAAAGAAGCACTTCAATAAATATCATTTCGCATCTCCTATGTATATATATATATATATATATATATATATATGATTAAAGAGTGTAAAACTATGCAGTTGTGTATACGGTAAAATTCGACACGCTAACAGAGGTGTATTTGCCCATAGAAATAGGTTAAGTAATAAAACTACATGCACGATAGGATAATATATTATTATGACTTTATGTTTTCATGCAGATTGTATTCTAATGAAAAAATACATCCTGAAAAGGCCATTTCAAACAATACTATGATGCTTCTTAATCATTGATCCGAATTAGATAGACAAAAACATTTCGATTTTGATTTCAAACAATTATTTAACATACCATTTGAAGTGTCCATGATGACATAACTTCATTGACTGGTTTGTTTGATGCTTTAGCCAAGTGAGACCAAAGATTTTCAGTAACAGTATTTTTATAACTGTATTCCGTTAAATAATTATGAAGGCCTTTACGGAAAGCATCATCGCCAATATAATCATGTAACATACGGATAACTGATGAACCTTTTGAGTATGAGATAGCATCAAAAATTTCATCAATTTCAGCAGGATGACCTTAATATGGGAATAAAAAGATAATCAATACGAAAACTCCAAAAACAAAGCATTTACCAATAGGTACTTCGATTGGATGTGATGATTTTAAAGCATCTGGTACAAGAAATCGTGCAAAAGTATCGGCAACAAATTGTGTCCAAATATCGAATTCTGGAAAACATTTATCAACAGCCAAATATTCAATCCATGTAGCAAATCCTTCATTGAGCCCTGTAAATTATAAAAAATACTGATAAAAGAAAAAGGTCATTTTTTTTTCAAACTCACATAAATCTGTCCACCAATCCATGGTCTATATATATATATATATATGAAAAAAACAATTAGAGTTGTATAAAAAAAAACGATATGGCATGAACAATAGGATACATACTACTAAATTACCAAACCACTGATGTGCAAGTTCATGAGCAACCACAATAGCTACACGTTGTCGTGTATCCATTGATGAAAATTTTGGATCAATTAAAAGTGCTGTTTCACGATAGGTTATCAACTAAATAGTAAAATCGAAATAACATCATAATTACAGAATAATATTATGAACTTACACCCCAATTTTCCATAGCACTAGAAAGTAAAAGTAGAAATCAATTAGAACTTGCGAGCTTTCTTTTCTTGTATTTTATTTATATCTTACCCCATGGCAAAATCTGAAATGGCAATTTGATCAGCTTTTGCAATTGGATATTTGATATTAAAATAATCAGCATAAAATGGAAGAATTTTCGCAGCAGTCTAGTACAGTTTAGAAAAATGTTATCGATTAGTTAGATTTTTTAAAACTCTTACATCTAATGCAAATTGTCCATGTTCTTTCTTTCCAACGAGTGTATAAACTTTCATACTAACACCATTCGAATCTTTTGTTTCAACATAATCATACTCGCCAACAACATAAGCAACAAGATATGTGCTCATTATTGGTGTACGATCGAATTTTGTTACTTTCCATTCTTTATCATCGGTCAATTCATTTTCTGATTTTATCGGCTAAGAAATGAATAAAAACAGAGTTCAATCGACAAAATAAATGTGACTTTTATTCGATACCAACCATATTTGAAATGGCACAAAGATTTTTCTGTGTAATTAATGTTATATCAAATGTAGCTTTAAAATTTGGCTCATCCCAACATGGAAACGCTCGTCGACAATCTGCAGGCTGAATAGAGTTCATTAAATAAAGAAGAAAAATTATCATTTCGTTTTACTTCAAATTGTGTGCTCGCTCCAAAGCGAACTTCACTACCATCGGGTGTGGTATATTTATTTCGATAGAAACCACGCATACGATTATTTATTTCACCAGAAAAATTCAATGCTAATTCATATTCACCTTTCTATAAACAATATTAAAATATTTCTATTAAACATACATGAACTACCTCAAGTTTGTGATCGAAATTGACAGTAATACGTTCACCTTCTTGATCGAGTTCAATTTTACCGTGCAATTCATCTATAGAAAAACAATAACAACAAATTAATTGAATAAAAAAAAACTAGTACCGTTGGAAGGTGATTTAACTTTAGCATTATCAACTTCTAAATCAGCAGCATACAGTACAATACTACTTGTCGGTTCTTTAACCTAGTATTAGAAATAAATTTACTTAAGACAATACAAAATACAAATAAATTTTTTTTTAGGAACTTTTAAATGTATATTGACATCGCCACTAAATTTAAATTTATCAAGACAGGGTCGGATTGTTAAATCATAATGTGTCGGTACGATTGTTTGCGATAAACGTTGAAATAATGGTTTAGTTTCCTGAGTATTGTTGGCACTCATGTTTAATCTGGAATTGAAAGCGATTTAATAAAAGAAAAAGAAAATCGTGAATTGAAAAAATTGTATTATTCTTCCGCAAACGAAATCCTTGAAAACAAAAACCTACTTGGTTGTAGTACTTTGAAAACGTTTTGTTTTGTTGTTAAGAAGAAAATAAGAAGAATAAATGGATGGAATAAATGATGATTCGACGAATTTTATATTTATAACACGATATAGTATTTGAGTGCGTTTGATAAATGTATTCATTCACTACCACAAAAAAAAATTGAAATCGTGTTTGAATACACGAACAGTCTCTTTTTTTCTAATAGAAAAAGAATTAGTTTTTGTATGGAGGAATAAGAAACAATGAAAAGAAGCTTGTTTATTTTATATATTTTTAAAGATAAAATAATCTGTGATGATAATGAAAAAAAACATACTATTTTCTACCTATCATTTAAAAAAAGCGACAAAAGTTAATTTTTTTTTTATATTTGTTTTATTTTAATCGCAATAGATGGTGCAAGAAGCTGGACGTATGATCAGACACAGAGAAAAGAATTTTCGTTTTATTAGATTACTTTGATTTTAATAAATATAATTTTTTAAGTTTCTTTTCTTTTTTCTTAATTAAAAAGTCGAATTGCTTAGCAACATCATCAATGGAAATCGATTAATGGCTTTGAATCTGATCGGATTAGAATTAAAACTTGAAAAACAAAATCATGTGACATAATATCTGAAAATATATTGATTTGAGACTTTTCAGAATCAAAGTTTGAACAGCAACATTATGTCGTCGGAAAATAATGATGAACCAACTCTATCACCATCGAAAAAATCTAGTAATACTAATACGACTAATAATAATAATAATAATGCCAATAATTCAGGTTTTGTGTTTTGAATTCTTTTTCTGTTGTATTTCAGTAAAAGGTTTTTTAAATAGATAGCGAATCCGATGTTAATAATGAGCATTTAATTGGAAATGTACAACGTGTAGCAATTGTTCCGCCGAATTATGAAGGAAAACCAAAAAAAGGTCATTTGATTTTCGATGCTTCGTTTGAATGTGGTATGTTCTTATGAATGCTTTTACTCTGTTGTACATCATAGCTGATAAATATTATTGATAGGTAATTTGGGTCGTATTGATTATGTAAATGATTTTGAATATGATTTGTTCATTCGACCTGATACATGTTGTCCTCGTTTTCGATGTTGGTTTTTATTTACTGTCGAAAATGTCAAAGCTGATCAAGTTAGTATTGATAAAATAAAGAAAGCATCAATAAAACTCGAGTTTTATTCAAACAAAAATCATTGTTTATGGCTTGATGACAATGAAAATTTGTCAAGGATGTCTTTTTTAAATAGGCAGTTTTTTTCAATTCTGTAAAATACTTGCAAATCAACCGAACCGACTTTTTCTCTCTAGTTCGAACATGAATTTTTCTCTACCTATATTTTCATTTTATTAGAGAGTTATCTTTCATATTGTTAATTTTTCCAAAGCCAAATCTTTATATCGTGATGGCATGACACCATTAGTAAAATCGACTAGTCGTAAACGATGGTAAATAGCATATTTGCAAAATTACAAAATAAATTTTCATTGCATATTCAAAGGCAACGTTTACCAACAAGAAATGTATTCTATTATCGTTCTCCTGATCATAGAAAAAATTATGTTATGTCATTCACATTTTGTTTTGATCGTGAAGATGATGTCTATCAATTTGCATATTCCTTTCCATATACTTATACAAAACTTCAAAATTATCTTGATAATATTGAACAACGTCGCTTAGATTATGTGCAACGACGACCATTGGTTTATAGTGTAGTAAGTTTTCTTTTCAAGAACACTGATTTGTACAGCCTCGTCTGAGACTCAATTATAGGACGAGGTAAAATGCTAGGAGTACACAAATCACCGATGATATTGAAATGAATCTATTGTGTTTCTTTTTATTTCTGTTACTGCTACTGACGACTCTGAATGAAATTGTTAGATCTTGGTTTCGAGCATTGCAGAATCAAACGATTGATTTGTATTAGTCGAAAAAAAATGCATCGGTTAAGCTGTTTCTCTATTCAAATATTTTATTTATCAGTGGGCTATTGTGTAATAAACGTTCTAGTTTCTAGCAGCGTAAAACATTTTTGAAATTGATTACTTCAAAAAAATTTCGATCGATTCGCTTCGATCATAAATGTTAGTAATCAATAGAAAGACAAAGCTAAGAATCTTTAGCTTAGATTGTTCATTGACTATTTTATTTTTGCTTGAAAAAAACTTTTTCAAGAGAAAGCATAGATTCAACAAAAAGATAAAATTAACATTTTCTTTTTTCTTAAATTTTTCTTATAGCAAAAGCGTCGACTTGATCTTTTAACTGTTGCTAATCCAGCGTTATTGGCGAAAGGTCGACGAAAAAAAGTTGTTATAGTTACAGCACGAGTACATCCCGGTGAAACGCCATCATCATATGTCTGTCAAGGTTTTATTGAATTTATAATAAGTGATAATCCCATAGCGCAACTACTTCGTGATAATATTGTCTTTTATATTGTTCCTATGCTTAATCCTGATGGAGTATTTCTTGGTAATCAAAGGTTTGCTTTCTTTCATCTTTTCATTATTTATTTATTGAAATTTAATACTTAATAACTTGCCAATTAGATGTTCATTATTGGGTTTTGATTTAAATCGTGTTTGGAATGATCCATCGATTTGGGCACATCCAGAAATCTATGGAATAAAAACACATATTATGAAATTAAATGAGGATGCGGTTCGTTAATATTCTTATATTATTTTTATTCTTTTGTTGTAAAAGAAAAATGCTAAGAAAATTTTTCTTCCTATTTAGGATTTTGAGCTTGATTTTTTTATTGATATTCATGCGCATTCAACCATGATGAATGGTTTTATGTATGGAAATGTTTATGAAGATGCTAACCGTTTTGAAAAGCATAGTATTTTCCCTCGTCTATTATCTCGTAATGCCGAAGATTTTTCTATTAATAATACAACATTCAATCGTGATGCACTAAAAGCCGGAACAGGAAGACGGTAAATCGATTGTAATTTATATGAATACTTCACTTGTTTTATTATTAAAGGACACTTGGTGGCTGTTTACAAGATAGTACACATTGTTATACATTAGAAGTTTCCTTTTTTTCGTATCAAACACCAACGACTACTCAAGCCATACCTTACACAGAAGAGTTATGTAAGTAATCAAAATCTATTTGATACGTTTTGTTTGTAAAAGTATTTTCTTTTCATTTATTTTTAATAACACAAAAGGTTGATTTGTTTTCTTTTAAGAAAGCTCATTAATTTAAAATTAGAAGTATTACATCATAAGCAATCTTCTTTTCCTATCGATTGCCATATTGTTGAACGTTGTTATTCATAACTAGCTTTTGAAATAGTTAGCTCGATATATTCTAAATGAAAGCGATAGTTTTATACACGTGATTCGTACGAATATAAGCAATGTCGGAATTGTTAAAAATAAAATTCGAATTATTTTTACTGATGGTCTTCATGTTGCAGTAATTAAAGTGAAATAATAAAATAATACTGAACAAAAAAAGATTAACTAACGCTATTGTTTGAAAAGAAAAACAAAATGATAAATTATATATTAATGTTTACAGATATACTCTTGAGCTGGTTCTATGATTTTTTTTTAAATAACGTATCGAAAGATTTTCTCAGAGAAAATATTCAACATCGTTTGATGAGCAGAAAAATGATTTGCTCTATTTCTCAATATTACGAAGGTAATTGAGTAAAGACGAAGAGAACTGCAAAAAGTAAATCAAAGAAACCACAGCAATTTATCTAGTTACCATAAGAGTGATTTTAGTTTTTATTTAATTCGGCAGTGATTATTGTTGTTTTTACATGTTTTTATCGCAAAAGAAAAATTGAAATCGAACAGTTTTACTTTCCATCTATAACATTATGGAAAAATAACAGACTAGCAACGAAGCATGATGTTATTTGAATTAAAGAAATAATTAAAGCATGGCAATTTTTTTATGTCTGATAGTTAAGAAGACGTTTTGAGTTTAGTTTTAGTTGTTTGTCTTGTGATAATAATAATAATAATGCATGAAAAATTGAAATTCTCTATGAGAATAGATTTAAATATTTATGTAGCGTGAGTCTTAGCTTTGAACAGTATAAAAATATGTGAGAAATAAAAATATTGCCTGGGGGAATCAAAATTTATTTAGATAACTTATATAGGTCATTATTTTTGTTTTTATAAACACAAAATAAAAACAAACTGATAGATTTTGAGAAGGTTTATATCTTAAATTGAATTTTCTTTTAAAATGATGTTTTCTCATGAGTAAAAAAGAGCTAAAAGACACTTAATATAAGAAGAAGAAGAGGAAATAGAATCAAAGTGTAAATACGATATAAAAAAAAATTTCTATTTTTCTATTTTTATTTATAGATCAACAGCTTGGCCGAAATTTAGCTAGAACATTTCTCGATTTTTACAAAAGTAATAATTATGTTGCATGGTCTCCTAGTTGTAGTATTATGCCCAGGCTGAAAGAAGATCGAATTAAATCTCGTCTTTCACGACAATCGGCTAATATGCCAGTAGTCGATCAAGATGAAGCGTACGAGATAACTTTAGTTGACAGATCCATGTATGCATGCAACGAGGTTTGTTTATTTTTTATTTAGATTCCTTAATAATGAAGCATACAATTTAAGCACGCAAGAATTTATCTATCCAGAAACACGCAATAATAATGAACCCGAATAACCGATCATAACTATTGAACAAGTTTCACTCTCACCGTCAATCTCCCGCCCATTTCCCTCCCAGCTATTCTTATCATCGTTTTTTGTTTGTACCATTCTCTATTGTATATGTTGTTTACAGATGTACAAGGACCTTTTCTTTTCCTTCATATTTTTTTGCATTTTAACGCTCTTATTACTTTCATTTATTAATCGTTCAAAGAATAAAAAAAAAAAGAACTGATTTGAAGCACTAATAGAACTCAATCAGATATGCAAAAGACAACATTGCATTTCCATCGTTTTCCTCCTCTATCTCTTCATTTTTTTTCTTCCCTCTTGTGTGTTTCTTACGTCTTTCTTTCTCTTTCTTTTTGGAAACAATCATTTCCATTGATTTCTATTTACACATGGGGCATAAGGGTGACGACTAAGCACAATTCTCACTCTCTGCTTAGCCTAATCGATTCGTTTCAAA